AAAAAAAAAAAAAAAAAAAAAAAAAAAAAAAAAACAGAAAAAATGTAATAAATATTCATGACCTCAGTTTGGCAATGATTTGTTAGATGTAACAACAAAAGCACAACATAATCTGGTTTCTCTTCAGATTGTATAAATAGGGCCAGGGAGATGGCTCAGTGGAATAAGCGCTTCCCTGGCAAGCGCAAGGACCCGAGTTCAATCCCCGGTTCCGCAAAAAAGAAAAAGCCAGATGGTGCGAATCTTGCACCTTTTTACAAAAGCACAAGATATAAGAGCCGACTAAATAGCTCAGTGATTAAAGTGCCTGCAAGTAGGCGCAGGGACTGGGGGTTTGATCCCTGGGTTTGTCATGCTGGCAGAATTAAGAAATTCTGGGGGTCAGTGAGATAGCTCAGCGGACTAAAGCGCCTGCTTAGGCAACCTTAGGCAACCACGGGGACCACAGTTCAATCCCTGGCAACACATGCCACGCCACTCTCGTCCCCAGGGCAGGCTGAGTGGTGGACCAGAGTCTGGGTGTGGTGGTGCATGCCTGTAATCCCAGCGCTGGGCAGGCTGAAAGCAGGAGGGATCACCAAGAGTCCCAGCTGTGTGGTGAGATCCTGCAACAACCAAATACATTAAAAAAAAAACTAAGAAATTCTGTACATAAAAAGAGAATACCAAGAGAATAATAATGAACTGAGCTGTGCCTTCTAACTACCTTCCTGAAAGCATCATACCCACACTACAGTGAGCCATGCACAGTCGTGTTTACGGCAGCGCAGCTCGCAACAGCGAACTCTCGGAGGCAGCCCGCACAGCAACAGATGAATGGATAAAGGAAACGTGGGACTCGTACACAAAGAACTACTACTGTGCCACAAAGAATAAGCTTCAGCTATTTGTAGAAAAATAGATGCGTCTTGAGACCATAACGTTAAGTGAAACGAATCACAATCTTAAATATCTCATGGTTTCTCTTATATGAAAAACCTGAAATATAAATAAAGTGCAAAATAACAGACATAACAAAAAGCAGAGATAGAGATCTTTCTCTGATGGGAAGGGATGAGATGGAGAAAGGCAAAGGGCAGGGAAGGGGATGAAAAGAATTAAGAAGTATTATGTCCAAGTAACCAGCCCCCCAGCAAATGTAATCCTTATGTACTGCAACAAGCACTAATACAATTTTGTAAAAAGAATAAGAGAGGGGCCGGGGAGATAGCTCAGTAGAATAAGTGCTTGCCTGGCAAGCTCAAGAGCCTGAGTTCAATCCCAAGTTCAGCCAAAAAATAAAAAGAATAAATAAAAGGAATAAGATAGCACAGAGAATGGGAGCAAATGTTTGCAAATGATTCTAACATTGATAAAAACTAAAACGCAAGGAAAGGCAAAAAATCGAAGCTTTCAAGGAGGAAAAAACTGAATAGACATTTCTCCAAAGAGATAAATAAATGACCACCACGCATATGAAAAGATGCTATCACTTGACATCAGAAAAGTGCAAGTCAAAACCAAAATAAGAACTCTAGGGCTGGGGTCAGGGAGCTAGCTCAGTGGTCTAAGTGCCTGCCTGGCAAGCACAAGGCCTCAGGTTCAATCCAGTTCCACATGCTGTGCTGGCCTGGTGGTGCACACATGCGGTCCCAGCGCTGGGGAGGCTGAGACAGGAGGATCACTACGAGTCTGGGTCGCATAGCGAGACCCTGTACCAAATAAATACATAAATAAATAAAGACAGAACAGAACACAACACCAGGGCTGGGTCAAGCCTGGGGTACATAGTGAGTTCAGGACTAGTGTGAACTACAAAGCAAGAAAGACCCTGTCTCAAAGAAAAAAGAAAACAAAGAATGCCAGGTGGCACACGCCTGCAATCCAAGGACTCAGGAGCCTGAGGCAGGAAGACTATTGTGAGTTCAAGGCCACCTGGGCTACACAGTATGTTTAAAAAGCTAGTGGGAACTACACTGCAAGACCTTATCTAAAAAAAAAGCACAGTAAGATACTACTTCACCCCCATTACATGGGCTGTTACCAAAAATGGAAAATAATGAGCACTAGGGAGGCTGTGGAGAAAATGGAATCCTCATGCTCTGCTGCTGAGTATATAAGAGTACAGTTGCTGTGGAAATACTGCAGCAGTTCCTAAAATAGTCACACACAGAAATACCACATGATCCAGTAATTCCACTCTTAGGTAAGTATTCAAAAGACCTGCAAATGGATACTTGTTTTGAAACATTATGTTGTAACCAGTTAATAATGTGCAATTCTTATTTATCAATAAAATTCAATCTTAAAAAAAAAGAGGGGCTGGGGAGATGGCTCAGTGGAATAAGCGCTTCCCTGGCAAGTGCAAGAACCTGAGTTCAATGCCCGGTTCCGCAAAAAAAAAAACAAAA